TTTTTTTTTTTTTTTTTTTTTTTTTTTTTTTTTTTTTGTCTTTTTGTCTTTTTTCCGTGTCCGGCAATGGATCGCAACCCTCAGTGTTGCCCCCGTACCGGACCGGGGACCGGCAACGAGACCGCAACCCTCGGTGCCGCTCCCGCGCCTCGCTCAGCCAGTGAGCGGGAACCGGTCCGTATGTGGGATCCGAACCCTCGGGCGGGAGCACCGCCGCGCTTCCCAAGTGGCGCACTATCCAGTGCGCCACCGGGCCGGCCCCAACTATTTACTTATTCTATGTAAAACAAAAGGCTAGGTGCTTTGAGAGGATACAGGAGTAGAGAGAGACAGGATTAAATTTCTGACTTGAAGAAGTTTACAATTTTTAGAAAAGATGTGATTTATGCAAATATCTACAATATAAAGTTGTGTCAAATATATAATACTGAAATATCAATATTGGCAATTTTCCTTTCTGCTCTTCTTTGTATATGACTATTTTCTTAGTCAGAGGCATCCACAAAATAATTCTTAGAGAATCAGGATTTTTAAAGCCACGAGAAAGAAAACATATATATATTTTTAACTTCAAAATAAGCTCTTAAAGCCCACATCTGACATAATTGAAAGCAAAAGCTTTTGATTTGCAAGAGAAAATGCTTGGCTTTGGGACTGAGAATCAAAAGAGAAAACCCTGACAGAAGTAAAATGGAGTTTATGCTTCAATGGTGATCTGGAAAAAGAATAAACACTCATAAGTTATGAATACAGAATGAAAGTCACCCAGGCTAGGAGTGTGGGGCTTACACTTATAGGAGTTTGGTGTATCCAGGGAATTGAGTATATAACCCAAAAGGACAATGAGAGGGGTAAATGGAGTCAGTATTGAGGTTCTGCCTAACCTCATCTTTTACCAGCAACAGGAATAAAGTGGAAGCCACTCTAAAACCTGTAGGGTGCCCCAAATTGCCTGCACTGAGGATGCCTTTTCACTGTTCTATCATCACTGGTTTTTTTTTTCTTTCCTTTTTGTCTTTTTTCGTGTCCGGCAACGGATCGCAACCCTCGGTGTCGCGCCCGTACTGGACCGGGACCGGCAACGGGATCGCAACCCTCGGTGTTGCGCCCGCACCTCGCTCAGCCAGTGAGCGGGAACCGGTCTGTATGTGGGATCCGAACCCTCGGCGGGGGCGCACTGTAGCAGTGCGCCACCGGGCCGGCCCATCACTGTCTGTTTTTTAAGAGTCCATTACAAAGGTACAATTAGATAGAGGGAATAAATTCTAGTGTTCAAGAGCACAGTAGGGTGACTATAATTAACAATCATTTATTGTGTATTTTAAAGTAGGTAGAAAAGGAGATTTGGAATGTTCTCAGCACAAAGAAATTAAAAATGTATAGGTAATAGATATCCCAGTTACCTTGATTGGATCATTACACATTGTATGTATGTATCAAATTATCACATGTACACCATAAATATGTACAGTTATTATATGTCAATAAGTCCCTTACATATTGACTGTCGATTGTCCAGAAGAAGGCATGCCTGCTTGGGCCCCAAAGATTTGCTGAGCCTTTCTAAACTGACCCACATGAACACCTTTCTTCGCAGTGATGCCAGACATTCATGTGCTCCCCAAACAGAAGGGGCAGTGGGGGGTGAGGTGGGGGGTCCTTGAAATGCAGAATGAAGTTCAAGTGTGCAGGGTAGAGCCTCAAAACTTGTACTTGGATTAAATGAGACAATGGTGAAATCTATGACAACAGAATGTGATAAATGTTGTGAGAGAGACATTGAACTGCTACTCTGAGAGGGAGCCAGAAGAGACAGTGCTTCAGCTGGAAGGATGAAGGAAGGCTTAGCATTTTAGTTTAGCTATGAAAAGCTTTAGCAGCTGAAGACGGGAGCAAGGCAGGAGACAATGTACAGCAGAGGAAACAGTGGAGAAGAGCTTAGAAATATGTTTAGCACTCTGCTGAGAAAGATTGATCTGCTCATTCCTTGGTTGTATCCTGCAAATTCCTCATTTCTCTTATATGTAAGTTGGAAAAGATAAGAAAAGGTTTTGAGAATATATTAATGAAAGAAAGGAATTATATATTTACTAAGTGCAATCAGTTGTCAAGTACCATACTGGATACTTTGTATATATTATCATATTAAATCCTATGAGCTGGATACTATCATTATCTTTACTACACACCTGAAAAAACTGAGGATAGGAGAGGCAAAATGACTTCTTCAATGACATCCAGCATAAATGGCAGTGCTGGTATTCAAACCCAACCATTTCTAACTCTCCAATTCCTGGTGCTTCCCAAAAGAGTTAATCAATGATTTAATGAAGGAAAGCAAAGTGTTTGAAAGATATCATCAAAAGTTAAAAGGAATAGCAGTCCTTATCACCACCCAAAATGATATACTTTAAGAAGTTTGTGGAAAAATAGAACTGAAAGTTAAATGAACAAAGCTGGAGGCATTACACAACTTCATTTCAAAATATACTACAAAGCTATAGTAATCAAAACAGTATGGTATTGGCATAAAATCACACACATAGACAAATGGAATGAAATAGAAAACCCAGAAATAAATCCACATATCTGCAGCCAACTGGTCTTTGCAAAGGCACTAATAACATACATTGGGGAAAGGACAGCTTCCTCAATAAATGGTGCTGAAAAAACTGTATATCCAAATGCAAAAGAAAGAAGCTATACCCTTATGTCTAATCACATATCAAAATCAACTGAAAATGGATTAAAAACTTAAATTTAAGACCCAAAACTATGAAAATACTAGAAGAAAACATAGGGGAAGCACCCCAAAACACTGGTCTGGGCAAAAATTTTATGGCCAAGACTTCTAAAGCACAGGCAACAAACATAAAACTAGATATATGAGTTTATATAAAACTAAAAAGCTCTGCACAGCAAAAGAAATAATAAACAGAGCAAAGAGGCAACCAACAGAATGGGAAAAAATACTTGCAAACTACTTTTCCAGCAAAGGATAAATACCCAAGATATGCAAGGAACTTAGCCTAAAACAAGCAAAAAAAGAAATAAACAAAAACAAGTAATCCAATTGAAAAGTGGACCAATGACCTGAATAGACAATTCTCAAAAGAAGACACACAAATGGCATACAGGTATACGAAAAAATGCCCAACATCACTAAACATCAAATCAAAACACAATGGGAAAATGCAAATCAAAACCACAATGAGATTATACCTCACTCCAGTTAGAATGGCTGTTATGAAAAAAAATAACAAATGTTGAGGATGCAGAGAAAGGGGAGCTCTCATACACTGTTGATGGAAACCTAAACTGGTATAGCCATTAGGGAAAACTATTTGATGGTTTCTCAAAAAACTAAAAAACTACCAGATGACCCAGCAATCCCACTGCTGGTATCTATCCCAAGGAGAGAAAATTAGAGTACCGAAGAGATATCTGCACCCTCATGTTTATTGCAGCACTATTGACAATAGCTAAGATGTAGATCAACACAGTGATTGTTGGCAGATGAATGGATAAAGAAAATGTGGTATACATACACATCAGAATACCTCTCAGCCATGAAAAAGAATAAAACCCTGTCACTTGAGGCAACATGGATAAGCCTGGAGGACATCATGTTAAGTGAAATAAGTCAGGTGCAGAAAGATAAACACTGCATGTTTTCATTCATATGTAGGAGCTAAAAAAAAATAATAAGTTAAACTTTTAGAAGTAGAGTAGGATTGTGGTTACTAGAGGCTGGGAAGAGGAAGGCAGAGGGATAACAGAGACTGGTTAGTTATGAACACAAAATTACAGCTAGGTAGGAAAAATAAGTTCTAGTGGTATACAGTGGTGCTAGGCATCTATAATTAACAATAATTTATCATATCTTCTCAAATGGCTAGAAGAGAGGAGCTCAAATACTCTCAACACAAATACATGATAAAATTTCACAATGATGAATATACTAGTTACTCTGATTTGATCATCACACATTGTATACATGTATTGAAATATAACTGTATCCCATAAATATACACAACCAATACATGTCAATTAAAAGTAAATTCCTTTACAGAAAAAAAAAGATAATGCAAATCTTTGCATACAATTTTTTAAGACCCCCTCATACACTTCAAAGTCTATATGGTATGAATAAAGGTTTAATATTTTAATTTAAAAAATACATTGTGTTTTCTTTGCATGTAAATCCCTTTCAATCCAACATGAATTGAATGGTGATTCCAGTCCTGCTATGATCCTAGGTCTGGGCTAAGCCCCATAATGGACATAGAAGAAGCATAAATAGAGTATTTGCTTTGGGAAAATCATGGGCTTTTAAGGAAAGCAAAGAACACATGAGAGAACAAATAGATGGGACACTATCATGTACTACCACAGTGAGATTAACAAAA